AATAATGTCAATAATGTAAAATAATAATTGAAATCTCGATCGGCGTTCACTGAAACGCAGCTAGCCACTGTATACGCGAAAAAGCAATGTTGCCACAATTACAAATACATAAGGGCTATTCGCGATTCGGTGCATAAGAGCTGACAAATTTATGCAATTGCAGAAATATGCCATGGATTGTGAGCGACCTTTATTAAACTGTCATGGCAAAGCTTTTGCAAAACAATTTTTGTGCATCAGCTTTGGTTTTGTTTATGAATGCAATGCATAGCATTTTTATGCTATGGATTTTCGGTATTGCAAATTTGCTGATCTTTAGCCCAGTGATAGCCCTGAACAGCATCTTGAATAATAAATCGGTAATTTTCAGAAAAATCGCTAAGAATCACAAACTCGCCCGGTTTTAAGTTATTTTTGCACTGATTTAAAAAGTCTTGTTGACTTTTTGCAATAAAATCGTGACTTCTAAGAACTTTCAAATCGTCACATAATTTAATTATGAAGGAATCAGTATCTTCGATTCGCCGAATTAATTCGGATCGATCTGTTGCAGTCCAAGTCATGTACGTCACTGAGTCAATGGAGTTTACGTCGCAAATTTCCTCTAAATGATTTTTAATACAAAAGTCACCAGGACATTCAGAACATTCACCAAGGTGGCAAGATGAAGTAGGATTTTCATATAACATTGCACTTAACATCTAAGTAATTTTTCGGAAATGTACAGTTATGGGATGAGTCCGGTAATTCAAAGGTTTTTATCCCTAACAATTTCAACTTTACATTTTTATTTTATTTTTATTTTACAAACACAGACGGAATGAGTTCCATTTTCACCAGCCAATATGCATTCGCGGGGACGGAATTCAGCAAACTTTGAAAATCCGATTTTCTCTTCAGAAAATTTTTCTTTGAAGTGCGCGTAAACTTATTTTGAATTACATAAAATTAAACGTTTTTGAACATTCGCACGGATACCCCCTACTTTTACTGAAAGGCAATCTTTTTTACCAGGCATGATACGGCTAATTTCATCACTTCTCTAAAACTCTTTCACTAATTCGTCGGTAGTGATACCTAATTGCTGATCTGTGCGTTCTTTGTGGAGCAGGAGCACCTATCCCTTCTTTCTGATGGATAGAATAAGCTCGGCGGGCTGTGTAGAATGGGACGTTAAAAGTTGTCTGAATTTTGGCAATCGAGGGACTTAGGAAGCATTGTAAGCAAATGAATTTTATCCGATGGTTTGTCGACACTTTTTAGCTTTTCTTTGATTTCGCAATGACGCTGTTAATATCGGAGCAATCTTCAGGATCACTTAAATTTCGATGCTTCAGGAGAGGCATATCGATCGTTCTCCTCTTTTTAGAAGCACTCAGTTCTTTGCACTTACTCGGGATGTTGGGTTGACCTAATGATGGCAGAGCTTTATTTAATGCTGCTATAACGATTTCTTGGCGCTCTTCAACATTGAATTCAAACTCCTCATCAGAGCTTTTGCGGTCACTAGATATAGACAAAGTCTCCACGTGATTTGATACTTCTTCACTTACAAACATTTTACAACCACCTTCTTTATGATTTTTATTGTCATTTGTTTGGAAAGCACTACGCAGTTTATTTCGTTTCAGACCTGTGTGACAAGATTTGCAAATGAATGAGCCATGTCCAATTTCTTTAGCGAATAATTGTCTATATTCTTCACTGGCTTTAATAATAGATCCAGATACACGTGAATGATTTTTTTTCCCCGAGTGGGTTACAACTAGGGTTGGGACAATCCGCATATTCAAATATCCGGATATCCATGCGGATTATCCGTTGACACGAATAAAATCCGGATAGTATGGATATCCGGTTAATGTTCGCTTGTGTAATTATTCGGATATCCGGATTTACGAAGATCCGGCTAATATTCGTATTTTCGGATATCCATAAAAAAATCAACAAATGGATTAATAATATTAGTGAATTCAATTATGCACACGATAGCGTGAATTAGCTCTTGACGGACTTGAAGTTGACCCTCTGTTTTGTATCGTTTTGTCACAATGTAAACGCATGGCACCACTTTTTTAAAAATGCTACAATTTGGTAAAGCATTCACCACGACCACAAGTATCGTAACAGCTTTTATTATTCCATCCTGATATTTTAAAGCCATGAAAAAATTCTCGCGGTCAATTTTATATTTTTTTTATTTTTACGAAGCGATACTTTAATTTCCCAATACCAGGCGCTCATGCATATGAAGTAGCAAGTTTTCTATACGCATAAATTTGTTTCATGAACTTTTTAATTCGTTTGTAGAAGCCTTTGAAACTCAAAAGTAGAATTTTGGAAATTTAAAAATTTATACAAACAATTTTGTGCGTAGAAACAGAAAACTTGTTACTACACATTTATGAGCGCCAGGTATTGGGAAATGAAAATATCGTTTTGATAACGAAAAATCCGGATATTCGGATAGCCGAATATTATCTGAGTTGCAGAGTAACCGGGGTTTTCATTTAGGTATCCGAATATTCGAATATTCGGTTTATCCGGATAGTTGAAAAATCCGGATGAAGTTCCCAGCCCTATTTACAACAATGCTTCAGGAGAGGCATATTTTCACAGATATTTGGTACAGAAATCTATTGGGAGTATGTAGTTGTATTGATGTTACGTCGACAAATATGATTAAAAATGGATGGCTTATTACCTGTTGAAACTGAATTTTGACGCAAAAGTAATCTTTTTGTCGAAATGTATAATTTTAAATTTTAATTATTTAAAAAAAAAAGTGAAAAATTTATTAATTTGTGCCAAATGATTAAGTTATCTCTGCCCGTTCAGGAGAAATGGCCAATCAAAGAAATGATTATGTTAATTTTAAATTCGCGATTTTTCGAAAAGTAAGAGGATTATTGCAAAATAAAGTATAGGGAAACAAATATTACCTGGACCTCTACCAAAGTACGAACCAATCTTGGTTATCCGAAAGAAAAGGTTTTTAAGTGGCCCACTTGACGTGTTTTGATGTAATTTGAATTTAAATTTTTTATTTTTTACATTTTTTTATCAGTCACTGCTTTACTAAACAATTAATATCTCAGGCCCTATATCGAGACACCCTTTAAAATTATGTCAGTTAAATCTTTGATATTCACTCCATCACATATATTTTTTGCAGATTTTTAAAAACCTGCAAACATGTTTTTTTAGCAACTTTCTAAATTGTTTATTAATAAACGTATAGAAAAGTGGACTTAAAAAAATTAAAAATCTTTTATAAATCTCTGACTCTTTGTCAATAAAAAAGTACTAATTGATTTTTTTGATACAACCAATATTTATCGAGTTATGATGTGATAAACAATGGCTTACGGCGAGACACCTAATATTTTTATTGTTGTATAACTTTTGAAAAAAATATGTGGTTTTTTTTTTGCGTTTACAAGCACTTCCTCTTCGATATATCTGAAAATCGAGCAAAAGTAGTTTTTCATCAATTGAAATAGTGTGGAATGCCTCACATATGTTTTCGAAGAACGTTCATGCTATCGCATTTAGCAATTGTACATTTACACGTCGCAAAAAACCCGACTAAAAAGGAAAAATAAATTTTAAACCAAAAATTCTATACAAAAACTTGAATTGTTTTAACCATAACCGAACATTTGTTTGTGTATACATTCATTTGTCGGTGCTCATGCTTCCTCACTTAATTAGGAAACAACACAGAGTTGATCACGAATTGATCCAGATTTCTATCAGCATCACATCGATGTTGAATTTGCGTAAAATAATGTCAATAATGTAAAATAATAATTGAAATCTCGATCGGCGTTCACTGAAACGCAGCTAGCCACTGTATACGCGAAAAAGCAATGTTGCCACAATTACAAATACATAAGGGCTATTCGCGATTCGGTGCATAAGAGCTGACAAATTTATGCAATTGCAGAAATATGCCATGGATTGTGAGCGACCTTTATTAAACTGTCATGGCAAAGCTTTTGCAAAACAATTTTTGTGCATCAGCTTTGGTTTTGTTTATGAATGCAATGCATAGCATTTTTATGCTATGGATTTTCGGTATTGCAAATTTGCCAAGCCATGACAAATGGAAATGCGTGTATTTTGTTTGTGTATTGCAAATAATTTGCAATACAAATTTGCAATGCAATGATGCTAGGCCATTTGCACCGGATCGCGAATAGCCCTATAGTTTAGGAAGAGCCTGCCTGAAACTATACAAAAAAGCAAATAAGCAAATGGATGTATAGAATTGACAACAACAACCACGCTATCGAGTTTAAATAGCGGCAAATCAGCTGCACTTGATAGCAGTTGGTTGAATAAGGAAAATGAATTAGCAACAAGAGTTTACGGGATGTACATAGCTCAGTGGTTAACGCTTCTGACTTTGAACATCGAATACGCAGGTTCGATCCCTGCTGAAGTCTAGAAAAAAGAAGTCTGATGAGGAGATGTGGTGATCCCGGAAATAGTGCTATAACTTTTTGTTTACAATTACTGTATTATCAATTGTTTTAATTCTCATGTTGATATTTTCTACCATCTCCACTTTTGCTTGTTTTAATATTGTATTTCGCTCATCTGTTTCAGTCGATCAAACCATTGCATAGGCTTACAAGTATGAAAAGCGCCATTTTGTTTATTTACATTTGAAAACAGCTGAAATCACCTGATTTTCAATTCTCTCATTCTCCGCACAGAGTTACATTCAAGTTTCAATAACAACTTTAAAATGTAAACTGAGAAATATTTTAGAAAAATGTGTTTATATTGAATTGATTAAACAAGAAATTAAAAATGCATGCCAAGTCTTGCATTTCCAATAATAACGATAAATGTGTATGTTCCAGGCAATAATTTAAAATATTTGTGAAACTTATCATTTTGCGATGAAATAAAGAATGTACACGAAAAAAACTGGTCACAGTTAAAACGTTCTAAAACATAAATATATTAATGGAATTCAACAATATTTACATATATTTACATCTAAACTTAGTTTTATTGAAATTCGTTAAAAAAGAGTTAATTCTCCTTGTAATAAGCAAACGATCGCAATTTTGACTTTATGTCCTTCATTAGCCCTTGCACAGAAGTTTCAGTGATTTCCTTGGAAACCAGCTGCCATTTATTTTTGAATTGTTGTGCGTTTTTTACAGCTTTGTGGGTCTTAAGAAGTTTGGATTTCATAACGGCCCAGTAGGTTTCGATCGGCCGATGCTCTGGACAATTAGGTGGATTCACCTCTTTTGCTACAAAATACACTTTGTTTCTATGCTACCATCCTAAAGCCATTTTTCCGTAATGACATATCGCGAGATTAGGCCAAAAAAGCACTGGATCTTTATGAAGCCGTATAAGAGGTAAAAGTCGCTTTTGCAGACACTCCTTAACATAAATTTCTTGGTTAATTGTACCAGTGCTTACAAAAGGATCACTTTTGAAGACGCATTGGCAAATTGCCTGCCAAATGAGAAACTTTTTGGGAAATTTGTCAAACTTTTTGTTTTTATATTTATCTGCAACATTGCCTCTTTTATTTGCTTTTACGTACGATTCGTCATCCATAACAATACAGCCAAATTTTTGTATGAGACTGTCGTACAATTTCCGAGCACGTTGTTTCGCCAACAAATATTGCTTACCGTTGCGATTAGGTGCTGCATTCACTTTGTAAGAACGTAGTCCTGCTGTTTTGCATACTTTTTGTATATACGAAGACGC